ATATATATGAGAGCTATATCTAAATCTGAACCGATGTCGATAAAATTTGGCAAAGGTATTTCTGAGCTGTATTTGAAATATTTTCCCGAATATCTACTTACTACGGAGTCCATATTACGGCTATGCAGGGCAAATTCAACAAATCGGATGAGCAATATTTATGGGAACTATAGCTATATCTAAACCGATCTTCACCAAATTGTGACATACTAGCTTCTAGACTCAATTTGATCGTAAGTCCATCCCATTTGGACAAATATTAATAGTTTGGTGCGCAATAAAAGGTAAATCGGACGAAGTTATATGCTATATCCAAATCTGAACCGATCTCGATAAAAATTTATTTCCCCAAATATTGTTGTTACAGAGTGCATATTACGGCTGCGGAGGACAAAAATAACAAATCGGATGAACAATATATATGGGAGCTATATCTATATCTGAACCGATTTCGATCAAATTTGGCATATTGATTTTCAGGTCCAATCTGGTCGTACGTGCAAAATTCCATACTATTTGGGCTTATATTGCAAGTTTGGTGCACATTATACGGCAAATTGGACGAAAATATATATGGGAGCTATACCTAAATTTTGACCGATTATCTCCAATCTCAGTAGGGTTCGCCTTGGGTCAAAAAAATTACTTGTGCAAAATTTCATCTGAATCGGACAATAAATGCGAACTGTACTTTGTTTACAAAAATACTTGGACCCTAAATATTTTGCGATCATCTCTAAATGCAAGAGGTCCCACTATATCTCCAAATTTAGACTCATCTATACGATTTGCTTGTCTATGATATTTGGATATATTCGGCAACAAAATCAGCATAAAAAAGCCAGAAGTCAGAAGTTTGCCATTTGTATATTTTGGAATTCGCTTGTAAGTTATTTTCAGCGTTTCGGTAGAATGGAAATGTTGGTATTTTTTTTAACACAAAAGTAGTGGTCCATTCTACTCGCTGTCCCAGGCCGCAAAATCAGGAACATTTTTAGTTGTTGGTCCATTTCAACCCCTAAATATATTGCGGATATCTTAAAAAACAATAGGCCTAGCCCTTCTGAGCCCTTTTGGAAAATTTCGTGAGGATCGGACATGAACAACATTTTTGTCATCTTTTTATCCGATTTTTTAAGATTTCATAATTTTATGCAAAGAGGGCATTCTGAATTGAAAAAAATTGTCAAAATCGGCCCAGCCATTCTTGAGATATAAGCATTCTAGCAACACCCCCTTCCTTTGAATATATACATTGTATATTTTTCGCTATATATATCTGATATATTTACCATCGACATCTACGTAACGGTCAGGATTGACCTGTTCGTCTATTTGTGATTTCGCCGGGATTAAAAATATTCGCGGTTTAATGGAAAATTTGACTTTCATTTAGCACAAATGTTGGAAGGCTTCTAAGCTCTAGCCCCATGCTAACTTTTACGTCGTTTGTCTATAATTGCGACATGTAGAGCAACTGCAAAATCAGAATATTTTTTATTTTTTGGTCCATTTCATCGCCTAAATAATATGCGATCATCTCCAAAAGCAATAGGCTTCTATTGTGGCCCTAGCCCTACCTTCGTTCTAAATTTCGTGAAGATCGGGCTATGATTGCGGCCTGTAGAGTAATTTCAAATTAACATGGACAGACGGACAGACGGACGGACGGACATACATAGCTAGATCGACTCAGCTCGGCGAGATAGGAAGATCCATATATACTTTCCCATGTGGGAAATCAATATTTCGAGGTGTTGGCCCAATCAAACTTATAATATGTGTTGTGGGGTATAAAAATCATAATCTCCATTAAAGCTTCCCATATTCAGAAGAATTGAAAAAGATCGTTAATGAGCTCAAAAAGCTCGACCTCGGTAAAATCACTTCTACCTATATGGATGGAAGATATTCACCATTACTTTTGTGGAGGGAAAGGTCTTAACACAACCCGTGCACCAGTAGAATCTCGACTTCCCTAAAAGCTCTCTTATCTGTAAAGGTGGAATATCTTCCGATTTATTTCCATTATTTCAACAAAACATCAATGCTTAGAAAATATATATTGGGCGATTTTCGAATGGAGGACTTCCCAAAGCCCTTCCTTAGGGAGAAGAACTTCTATAGCTTCTGCACACATACAGAACTTCTCACTTGACTTCCATGACTTGAAAACAACAGGCCTTGTACCTTTGACAACATTGTATTATCAAAATCAGAGATGGGTACGTCTTTTCAATCAATTTAAATTTAACTAGATCACTTACAGAAAATGCAGAGCTGTATAGTATTGTTTAATAATGAGGTTACCTTGAATTAATTTTGTCATGGCCTGTTCTTTATAGACTCTAACTGCTACGCAGATGTTTAAATTTCCCAACCCTTTTTACAAATCACAGAAATTAAAGTAAACAATTGACCTAGGTATTCTTTGAATTTAATTAAATCCAATTTCCAATTATAATTGCAATTGAAAGAATGTACAGCGTGTGGTATGAGTAATTTAAATAAACAAATGCCGTTTTAATTACTCATACAATCCGGGGTACGGGATGGAATGAGTTATATAAAAAAAAATATTTATTAGACGTCTATGATTTCTTTGGAAATGAAAGTAAAAAAAAAAAAACACGTTTGAATAACAAAAATTAAAGGGAAAATATCCCGGTGAACTTTTGAAACTCTGTGGGGGGATGAAATGTTGGAAAATTCTTTAAAAAAATAACTTTGGAATTAATATTTGCAGATTTAATTTATATTTCTTGATAAGAAAACGAATAGGTTATTTATTAAATTGAAAACTGTTAAAATATAATTTTTATTCAAACATCTTTAAAGTGAAGAGCTAACAATTTTTTTTTTCAGGAAAAATTTTTTTTATACCAAGCATATGAACTTCCAACCTCTCTACTTTTCCTAACGGAAAGATTTAGGGTCAGTTACTGTATCATGATACGATAATAAATATGTCATTCCAAATATAATTTTCATTACACCCTCAGCCATATGGCTACAGAGGGTATAAATCATTTGATACGACCAAAACGAGCCTCATCGAAATAACAGTTTTAGACACTAGACCTCTTCAGACCAAATCCGTTTCAGGGCACTTGGAGTCGGTCGAAGGGTGTCCGATCGTCCACTTGTCTGGTGTGCATGATAACTCTCGGAGGGAGCAGCCGATTTGGTCCATACTTGGTGCATCGAAATATTATTATCAAAATTAGATTTAGTTCGGAGATGGGCACTTCTTCTGGTACCTCCCCCACAAAAGGTCTAATTTTTCAAAAAAAAAAAAAAAAAAAAAAAAAAAATATATATATATATATATTTTTTTCTGCACAAAAAGAGAAAGGACATTCCGATTTTGCTCCAACTTAGTAAATCCTAATATTTATATCATTTTTAAGTTCGGTGCGAAAATGGACAATATCGACCCACTCCATCAAGTACCTCCCCTACAAAGATCTAAATTTGTACTAATAATAACTCCTATAAAATGTGAAATTGTCTTCAAAATACAAATGTTCCAATATTTTTATTAGCACAAGAGCTGATGTGAAAATGGTCTATATCGGTCGATACCTTCTGATACCTCCCCCACATAAAACGCAAAATGAGCTTCCATTTACTCTCAAACTTGGCATATCCTAATATTTCTATCAATACAAGATCTGGTGTAAAAATGGAATATGTAGGACCATTCCTTCTGGTACCTCCCCCACAAAGAGTCTACATTTTGAATAGCCATGAACTCGAAAAACTCGAAATTAAAATCCGATTCCATTCAGACTTGGCACATCTTAATATTTCCATCAACACAAGATCTCTTATAAAGATAGTAGAGATTGGACCATTCCTTCTTGTACCTCCCCCACAAAGGGTCAAAGTTTTGAATAACCAAAACGATAACGGTTGAAATCCGAAATAAGTATTTTGTTCACTTCATATTTTACACATCGCATTACTTCTTCTAACACAAAATCAGCTGTGAAGATGGGATATATCGGTCCAGTCCTTCTGGTATCTTCCCCACAAAGGGTCAACATTTTTAATATCCATGAAGCTCATAAAACGCGAAATTAACATCTGATTCCATTCAGGCTTGGTACATTTCAATATTTCCATAAATACAAGATCTGTTATAAAGATGGTAGAGATCGGACCACTTCTCCTGGTATCTCCCCCACAAAGGGTTAAAGTTTTGGATATCCAAGAAGCTCAAATGCAAAATTAAGATTCCATTTCATTCCGATTCCATTCAGACTTAGTAAATCTCAATATTTCTATCAACACAAGATCTGTTGTATAGATGGTAGAGATCGGATCATTCCTTCTGGCACCGCCCCCACAAAGGGTCAACGCTTTGAATAACCAAAACGATTGTGAAATCCGAATTAAGCATGCTGTTCTCTTCATATTTCTCACATCCCATTATTTTTACCAACGCAACATCTGCTGTGAAGATGGAATGTATCGGTTTATTCCCTCCACAAAAGGGTCAAAAAATTCCATGAAGCTCATAAAACGCGAAATGAACATCCGATTCCATTCTATGAAAATAAATACCTCTGAAGCTCTTCTAGTCGCAGAAGAGCTTTTGTATCTTCTAAAATGAGAAGTGCTAATAAAGTTTTTCTATTATAAAAATTACTCTTACAGGTCAAAAAAAGCTTTAACAGGTCTATTTTAATTAGAAGTGTTTTTTGAGGTTTTCTAGAAAACAAAAGAGTTCTAAGAGCTCTTCAAGAGATAGAAAAGCTTTTAAATGTATTTTACATATAGAAGAGCTATATAAGCATATATATAGAAGAACGACAAAAGCTCTGCTTTGATATTTTATTTGTGTATTGACAAGCTTTTACAGCTCTGCTATAGATAGTAGAGTTTTAAAGCTCTTATATAGTAGAGCTTTTATGATTCGTTTATAGATAAGGTAGTTTCAGATCGTTTTGTTTTTATTGAAGAGCTTTTACATGTACACACATGTGCTACAGAATTGAAAAATTTACAGTTACTCTTCAAATGAAATGCCGCTTTAGAATTTCTTCTACAAAAAGACGAGTCTTTATACAATTTCTTTAGATAGAAAACGTTTTAAAGCTATTCTGTAATTGGACGAGAATTTGCAGAGCTTTCTTGGATAGAAGAGCTTTTAAAGCTCTTTTGTTGGGATTCATGTTTTTGCAGTTTTTGTATAAAAAAACAGGAGTCTGGTTGTTTTTTTACGGACGGAAAAGCTTTTAGTACTCGCTTATAAATCGGAGCTTTTTAAGCTCCGGAAAACAGCAAATGATCTATTACAGGTCTTTTTTAAATTTAAGAGTTTTTTTTTTCAACTTTTATAGGAAAGAACTTTTAAAATCCTTCTATAGATAGATCTTTGAAGGTTTTAATGTTTTTCTATTGATAGTAGAGCTTTTATGATTCCCGAGAGACTTTTGAAGGTTTTGCGGCTTTTCTCTTGATAGAAGAGCTTTTATCGTTCTTCTATGGATATAAAAGCTTTTGAAGCTCTTCTGTAGAGAAAAAGTTCTTAAAACTGTTTTATTAATATAATTGCTGTTATTGACAGAAGTAGCTTTTCTGTAGATATCAAACCTTTTTTCGTATTTTTTTAATATAAAAGAGCTTTTATATGCCTTTTAAGTACAAAAAAGCTTTTACAATATTTCTATTGAGAGAAGAATGCCCAGTGTTCTTCTTCTGCGACATTTGGTAGTACTTATTTAGAAAGAAGGGCTTTTGCAATTCTTCTGCAGAAGTGAGCTTTTTCAGTTCATTTTAGCCTTTGGGACACAAAAGAGCTTCCCTGGCTCCGCTATTTAGAAGACGTTCCGCAGTTGTGTGATTCTTTTACCTTTTGTATATAGCTTTTACCGCAATTCTATTATAGGAGTAGGCTTACTTCATTTTTAAAGATAGGACTTTTTAAGCCCGTGTATAGATAGAAAAGCTTTTACCAATTGTTTGAGGTATATGAGCTTCTATAGATTTTCTATAAATAGAAGACTTTTTATGGCTTTTACTGCATAGAGGAGTTTCTTCAGCTCTATAAATTCGAAGACCTTTCTGACTTCTTCTAATACATGGATGACCTTTTTCAGTTCTTTTGAAGCTTTGCATAGGAAAAATTTTTTCCTACATTGTTTATGTTAATTGGTCCTTATTTGTTTTCCTTTTCTGCTTGATTTTCAATTCATATTTTCGGTATGAGAAGGTTCTCCATTCTTGCTTTCCTCTAAATTCCATTGGATTTGCAGCCCTGCACAGCAATTTACATATATATTTATTTATGTGCGTGATTTTTCATTAAACCGTTCTTTGGAAAAAATATTTGTTCAGGTGATGTACCTTCTACCCTCCCTCTTCTTGATGGTCTTGGAAGGAGCAACAAAAATAGAGGAAGTGGTGGCTGAGAAAAAACCTATATAAATAAATAAAGCATAGGAATAGGTGGAACCAACAAAAAAACGTAGAATCAATTAAAATACGATTTAATTAAACTCTAATGATAACAAATACTTCTTTTTCCTTTCACCTCTTCCACGTTCAGTTCAAGTCCGCCGGACAGGATCCAAGCAATTACAGCTGCTGCCTCCCCGAACAACTTTTGAAAACATCTTCAGTCTTTTTTTTTTTGGATTTTTTGCAAACAAAATATTTCATGCTAAGCAGGTGTTGGTGATGCTTAGGAAAACCACACAGTTGTTGTTTTTTGTTTCTAAAGGCTTGCATTTGTTGTTGGTTTTTGTTGCTGCTGGTTACCACTGCCGATTTGTCGAATTCTCTTCAAGACTTCAATTTCACTTTTCGGCTGGGCATTTGCCGACTTTTGAACGCCATAATAAGGCGATGACGCTGGGGTTGGTGTGGGTTCGGCGAAAAATGGAAAGGATGGCAGGAATGGTAATGATGGTGAGTATTGCTGTTGCTGGTGGGCTTGGTGTGGGGGAGACTGATGCTGCTGCTGTTGTTGCTGTTGTTGGAATGGCAATTTGATTTGATAACTGCCTGTTAAGCGTCCAACCAAATTATTGACTGCACGCAGCGTTGAAATGGGTATCTGCAAAAGAAGAAATTGAAAATGAAAACGAAAATGAAAAGAAAACAATAGCAACAAAAACAACAACGATTTAATGGCTTTTGAATGTCTTTATGATTTTTAATTAAAAATTGGCAAACTTCAATGAAAATAACAAGGAAGATGGGGAGATGAGGATGATGATGAGGAAGAAGACGAACTGGCGTTGTGGCATTAAAATTATTAAAATCGTCATGCCATTGGAAATAATAACATAATATTAATAAAATTGAATTTGATAATTGTTTAAAGATGTTTTTGCAAATTCCGCATTGAAGCAAAAAAAAAAAAAAATTGAACATTTACATAATTTAGAGGAAGTATCTCTTCCCAACACCATAGTGGGCAAATGGATGTAGGAATGAGGAGGGGAACTCTGACCGTTTAATTTTTGGTAAGCGTTAACAAAATTGACAATAACAATAGGCAAATGTACAATAAACGTTGAGGCGTGATCATAAATTGTACTAAAAGTACTAAAAGGTACTAATAATTGAATCGTCTATATTAGACAAACGTACAGAGCTAGCATTCAGAAATTTGAAATGTGGTGAGTGAGATATATGCGTGAAAGGTTTTTTTTGGACATTCTCACTATAAATGTACTAAAAGTACAAAAAAATACTAAATTCGGTACTATTTCGTATTATGTGAATGGAATGAGTCTCGTCATTTGATATGAGTATTAAATTTGGGAAATGGGGTTAATATAAGAACAGATTTTCGAAATGTGTACTAAATTTAAAAATTGTACTAAACGGTACGTAATTTGGTACAAATTGTGTTTGGGAGTTTGACAAACGATTTAACCTTTTCCAGAGCATTCCTGCAATTAGTTCTGGATTTAGATTTGAATGTAAAAGAATTTAGATCCTTCAGGGCCGCTTGACTATCGACATTTATAGTCACCGACCCATCCAGCAGTTGTTGTTGAGTTTGAAGGATCTTGGGATACACAGGCTTTCACAGAAGACTCCAGCTCCCGTTCCACTTTCCATGTTTGACCCATAGTATAGACAGCTATACAGTTAAAAGGTGGAATGTTGCGGGTCCAGGCGTCTCTGTTAGGTATATTTGGATATCAAGTAATTCAAAGCTTTGCCTTGGTGACATATATAATCACTGGCTATAGCCTGATTTCCTATGTTCTCCACATACTTGAGAATGACGGAGTGTCCAAAGGATTGACTCCGCCATTGTCCCAGTTCATTGAGTCGCAGGGCACACCTATCAGCTTGTTCCTCTACAAATAGACTTAAGGGTTTAAGTGGAGCCTGTAATTAGTAGCGATGCAACTCTTTGGAATTATCAATGCTATTGCTGAAGGTAGTTTCCCCTAAGGAGTGCCACCAAACTAGCACTCCATAAGTTAGGATTGGCCGGACGACTGGCTCATATAAATATTTGATTATATTAGTCTTAAGTCCCCAGCTCTTTCCTATAGAGTTTTTGCAAGAGTAAAGTGCAATTTAGTCCATCTTCGCTCGCTCCTCGATTTTCCTCTTCCAGTTTAATTTCTAGTCTAGGACGGTACCGAGATACTTGGCTTCCGAAGACAGGCTTAGCATAACACCATCCAGCATTGATAGCGAAAAATCTGGGATTTTCCGCCTCCTTGTAAAATGTACGAGCTCAGTTTTAGATGGGTTCATTGGTTAGCGGTCACTGCTGGTGGGTGGGGTAAGGCTTACCAAAAATATACGAAAAGTACTAAATTGTACCAAATTTTGTATTTGTCATACAGATATAGGTGGAATGAAATTTGGAATCTGGGTCCCTGATGGGGTGAAGGATACACGCTCCACAAATATTTTTTAGAAACTCGTACGTACCACTACCATAATGGGTGCTTAAATATGCCAATCGCACTAAATGGTGCCAAATTAGGCATTGATAGTAGATATAAAACTAGAATTATGTATTTCGGTGTCAGGATAACTGTGAGTGTAAAGGAAATGGAGAATTTGGAAATGCTTAGTATACAGTGTACGATAAGTACTAAATGTTTAGTACAAAGTTTAGCATATAGTGATTGGAAAGAATATGCGAATATTGTTAGAAGAGATCTCCACGAAATTGCAGCGTTCAGAGAAGGAACGATATTTGGAAATTCTTACCATAAAGTAATCGAAAAGTACCAAGTGATACTAAATTTGGTAAATAGCTGAAATTGTGCATTTTGTTATTAGTATGATTAGAGGATCAAATAAGCGGATATATTCGGAAATTCCAAGTATATCGTTCACGAAAGGTACGGAATGGTACAAAATTTGGTATTGGATAAACGGATATATTTTTTTTTTTGAAATATTAAATTTGTCATTAGGGTCATTGTAAGTGTAAAAGTTTGGGATTTAAGGTGGACTTGGAGGTACTTAGTACGAAAAATACTAAAAGTTCTAAATATGGTACCATTCATAAAAGACCTTGGTAGGATTTGTTATTCATAGAAGACCTTGGAATATCTATCAATCGAAAATCATCCTATATTTATACGAAAAGTTCTAAATAGTACAAATTTGGCATTGGGTGAAGGATCCTGAAATTTTAAATGGATGCCACTGTTGGTGTCCGTTGTTAAAAGAGGGAATTGGTTTTAAATATGCGTACTATATATATGCACGAGAAGTACTAAATTGTACTAAATTTGGTATTAGTTGAAGTACAGGGCTCAAATTTGACATAGAGGTCTCAGTTGATATCTGGAATTGAGATATGGAGGTGGTTTTGAAAATATGTACTATAATTGTACGAATAGTGCCAAATAGTAATAAATTTGGTATTAAAAGAAGAGATACAGCTGAAATCCTGAAATTTGATATAAATGTCACTGGGGCTTAGATATGAATATCACTGCCGTTAAGCTATGAAGGTGGTATGGGAAGTGTGTATTATAATTGTGCAAAAAGTACTAAATAGTACTAAATGTTATATTGGGAGAAGGCATAGATCTGAAATCCTGAAATCTCAGTTGGTATCTGGACTTGAGATAAGGTGGTGGTTTAGGAAATATATACTATAATTGTACGAAAAGTATTAAATAGCACGAAATTTGGAATTGGATAAAGGAATACATCTAAAATCCTGACATGTAATATGGACGTCACTATTGGTTTTTGTGGTTGAAGGGGGTCTATATTGGTATCTGGAATTTAGATAAATAGGTGGTTTTGGAAATGTGTACTATAATTGTACGAATAGTGCCAAATAGTACTAAATTTGCCACTGCGGTAATGATATGGATGTCACTGTCGTAAGATATGGCGATGGTATTGGAAGCGTGTATTATTATTGTGTGAAAAGTACTAAATAGTATTAAATTTGGAATTGGGTGAAGGAATAGAGCTTGAATCCTAAAAATTGATATTGAGGTCATCCTTGATCTGCCGTATTTAGATATGTTGGTGGTTTTAGAAATGTGTACTATAATTGTACGAAAAGTACTAAATAGTACCAAATTTGGAATTGGATAAAGGAATGGAGCTAGAATCCTGAAATTTGATATGGACGTCACTGTTGGTGTCTGTGGTTGAGAGAGGTCTACGTTGGTATCTGGAATTGACAAATATTAGACGTTTGGTGCACAATAAATGGTAAATCGGACGAAGTTATATATGGGAGCTATATCCAAATCTGAACCGATCTCGATAAAATTTAGCAAAGGTATTTCTGAGCTGCATTTGATATATTTCCTCAAATATTGTTGTTACAGAGTGCATATTACGGCTGCGGAGGACAAAAATAAAAAATAGGATGAAAAATATATATGGGAGCTATAGCTATATCTGAACCGATTTCGATAAAATTTGGCTTACTTATTTTCAGGCCTAATTTGGTTGTATGTGCAAAATTCCATACTATTCGGGCTGATATTACACGTTTGGTGCACAATAAAAGGCAAATCGGACGAAGATATCTAAGGGAGCTATATCTAAATTTTTACCGATTATCTCCAGTTTCAATAGGGTTCGTCCTTGGACCAAACAAATTTCATCTCAATCGGATAATAAATGCGACCTGCATTTTGTTCACAAGAATACATGGACATACGGACGAGCGGACAGACGGACTGACATGCATAAATCAACTCAAAAAGTGATTCTATGCAGATCATGAAAAGGAACTATGGGTCTATCTCGTTTCCTTTTGCCTGTTACAAACAAATGCACAAAGGCATAATACCCTGACCACCTTGGCTTAGAGCTGTAATGCAGAAAGTTGATATTGAGGTCTCGGTTGGTGTCTGGGATTGAGATCTGGTGGCGGTCTTGCAAATGAGTTGTAGGTTTCTAGGGACGACATATGGGAAAAAAAAACCAGAAAAATTGGTCCATGGTGCAATTGTTACAAATATCGTCCTCGCTAAACTTCAAACTGTAAGATTTTTAAGACTTTTTGCTGTAAAAGGTGAGCAGTTTACTATTTATCTCTCTGAAAGAGGAAAAACTTGAAGGTCTGAAAATCTAGTACGATATGTGAAGTTTTGATTAAAAATTTTGTAGAACTGAACAATTTGGGCATTTTGAGTAGGAATACGAACTGTTGGAATGAATCTGAAATTTTAAGATGGATTTCCCTGGCATTTACTAGTATAAAATAAGTATTTTTCCTACTTCTGAAAACCGTGAAAAACTCAATGCCTACTGCAGTTTTGTTTAGGTTTTTTTTTTTGAAAATATTCCGACATTAATTTGAAATTATAAAATACATTTTTTTTAAATCCATAAAAATAAAATACTCACATCAAAAATGCTATCGATGATGGGCCGAATCATGCCGCCCACGGTGCGGACACCTTCCTGGATGGGTCCAACTCCAATCTGGGCATTGTTGGGGGTATTATAGCCCCCCGCACCATAGTTATCATTGTTGTTGTTCACATAAACATTGTTGTTGTTGTTGCCGAGACTATTGTCCTTATCTCTGTTGTTGTTGTTGCTGTTGCCATTTGCATTAAAAAAGCCACTAAACATATAACTAAAGAAATTATTGTTGTTGTTGCTGTTACTGTTGCTATTGGCACCATTGACATTGCTATTGTCGTAATTGTTGTATTGATTGTTGGCGTTGTTGTAATATGACGGGTTTCGCGGCGCGTACTGTCCATATTCCTGACCAGGATACTGGAGGAGATTCTGTACTCTTATCGGTTGTGTTGACGATGACTGGAATTAGAAATGGAAATGAAAATGGCGATATAAAAAGCATGTTCAACAATTAGTTGGAAACAACAAAAGCAATAACATGATTATTTGCAAAAACACAAAATAATTACAGATTCAATTGATGTGGCCCATTTGCGGTCAATTGCTGGAGCGAGTGATTGGTGAGGATGATGATAGTGCTGTGGTGGTTAGGTTGCGGTGCTGATGAATGTATTTTTATTTTCATTGATTCTAATTTTGTAGAAAACTTTTGAATTGTCAGTGGTTAGGAACATGCCAAGCAATGCAATTAACAATCGTAAATTGTCCATGAAATGGGAGGTAATTTTCGAAAATTGTTAATGTGCCAAAACTATTTTTGGGGCTTCTAATGATGGAATTTCATTCAAGCACAAATTGTGCGGAGGACAATGTTTATGAATCGGGAAAAATCATGTAAGATTATGTAAAATAATTCGTCTTGCAGGAGGATTCTATTAAAGACTAATATTGGTTGAAGGCCTCTTAAAGATCTTCCAAAGATAGATCTTGTTTTAGAGTTTCTATGGAAAAATACCCTAAACCAGTCTTCTTTAGAGAGAAAACATGTGCGGAGGACAATGTTTATGAATCGGGAAAAATCATGTAAGATTATGTAAAATAATTCGTCTTGCAGGAGGATTTTATCAAAGACTAATATAGGTTGAAGGCCTCTTAAAGATCTTCCAAAGATAGATCTTGTTTTAGAGTTTCTATGGAAAAATACCCTAAACCAGTCTTCTTTAGAGAGAAAACATTTAACAGGCGTTTTATTTGCCGAAGTCTTTTTAAAGGTTGACAGAAGAGCTTTAATAGGTCTTCTATGGACAGAAGGCTTTTTACAGGTCCTTTAGAGGGAGAGAGAGAGAGAGAGAGAGAGAGGGAGAGAACAGGCATTCTAGAGACAGAAGACCCTCAACAGGCCTTCTTTAAGAAAGGACCTCCAAGAGGTCTTCTAGAGGCAGAAGACCTTCAACAGGTCTTCTAGAGGGAGAAGACCTTCAACAGGTCTTCTAGAGATAGAAGATCTTCAACAGGAATTCTAGAGAGGAGACCTTAATCGGGTCTTACAGAGACAGATGACATACAACAAGTCTTCTAGAGACAGAGAGAAGACCTTCAAAAGGTCTTCTAAAGAGAGAAGACCTTCAACAGGTCTTCTAGAAAGAGAAGACATTCAACAGGTCTGCCAGAGACAGAAGATCTTCAGCAGGTCTGCTATAGGGTCTTACAGAGACAGCATTTCTTCAAGAAAGTCTTGTAGAGACAAAAGACATTCAACAGGACTTCCTGAGACAGAAGACCTTCAACAGGTCTTCTAGAGAGAAGACCTTCAACGGGTCTTACAGAGACAGAAGACCTTCAACAGGTCTTCTAGAGAGAGAGAGAAGACCTTCAAAACGTCTTCTAAAGAGAAGACCTTCAACAGGTATTCTAAAAATAGAAGATCTTCAACAGGTCTTCTATAGAGAAGATCTTACAGAGACAGAAGACCTTCAACAGGTCTTCTAGAGAGGGAAGGAGAGATATAGAGAAGACCTTTAAAAGGTCTTCTAGAGTGAGAAGACTTTTAACAGGTCTTCAAGATAAAGAAGGCCTTCAACAGAATACATTCAACAGGACTTCCTGAGACAGATGACCTTCAGCAGGTCTTCTAAAGAAAGAAGACCTTCAACAGGTCGTCTAGAGGCAGAAGACCTTCAACAAGTCTTCTAGAGACAGAAGACCTTCAACAGGTGTTTCGCAGGGAGAAGACAGGTTTTCTAGAGATAGAACACCTTCATCCGATGTTCTTAAAAATAGAAGTCCAACAACATGTCTTCTAGAGAGAAAGAATACCGTCATCAAGTTTTTTTGTAGACAGAAGACCATTAACCGGTCTTATCTAGACAGAAAACCTTTAACAAGTCTTATATAGTCAGAAGGCCCGTAAAATGTCTTCTATACACCGAAGACCCTTAAAAGGTCTTCTATACACCGAAGACCCTAAAGAGGTCTTATATGGACCGAAGACCTTTAAAAGGACAGAAGACCCCTAAGAGGTCTTCTATGGACCGAAGACCCTTAACAAGTCTTCTACAGATAGAAGCTCTTTAATAGACCTTTTATGGACCGAAGACCTTTAACAGATCTTCTATAGCCAGAAGTCCTTTAACGGGTAATTTCTAGACAAAATACCTTTAACAGGCCTTCTCTAGACAGATGGTGTTTTACAGATCTTCTATATTTTAAATAGCCTTAGTGGGTCCTCTATAGTTTAATTAGGTCTTCTATAGTTTGAATATCTTTAAGAGGCCTTTTATTAACAGAAGACCTTTAACAGACCTTCCATTAACAGAAGACCTTCAACAAGTTATCTATTGACAGAAGACGTTGAACAGATCTTCTATTGACAGAAGAGCTTTAACAGGTCTTCTATTGATAGATGACCATTAGCAGGCCAATTATTGAAAAACGACCTTTAGGAAGCCTTCTATTAACATAAGAGCCTTAGCAGGTTCTCTAAAGACCTTCAACAGATCATCTATTAACAGGGGACCTTTAACAGTTCCTCTATAAAGAGAATGCCTTTAAATGACTTTCTATTAAAAGAAGACCTTTAACAGCTCTTCTATTTAAAGCGGACCATAAAAATGTCCTCTTTTTGGAGAAGACCTTAAACAGGTCTTCTATACAGAAAGAACCTCTAACAAGTCTTCTCTAGACAGAAGACCCTATTGATGTTTTATATAAGTTTTCATAGCATTGTTCCTACACATGACCTTTCTTTTGTTCTCTTCTGACGTTCTATAAATTTACTATTCTTTATTGTTCTCTTTCAAGATCACTCTCAATATTGACTTTAAATATTCTTTACCAAGAACCATCCATCCATCTAAATAAACCAACCAATGTGTGTATGTGCATTGAGGTACATATGTATGCCATAAATCATAAATGTCGTCTTTGTGGTGTGCAATTGCAACAACGCCAACACCAATTGATTCCAACACCAAATCCGCCATCTCTGCGAAACCATTCATCTTCGTTTCAAGTGCAATGAACAAATATTTGAACAATTCATGCCAGCAATTCATGGGCAAATCGATGTTTGCTTTTGCACAGTTCGATATGCTAACTGATCAAAATGACGGAGTGACTGGCTGACTGCGAGACTGAGTGGAGTGCAGTGAATGACTGGGTCAGAATGGTATGACATCCGAAACTGGAGCCAGTCATTCGTGCCACCAACACCGCCACAATGTAACACAAACTAAACTTAAACAACTAAAGCAAATAACAAAATGCAACAACGAAATGCATTGCAGTGCAACATCGAAGACCCTCGTCACCCCTCTCAAGACCCCTCGTCGCCCCTGCAAACCACATCCCAAATACAAAAAGACTACAATAACAAATAAACGACAATGACACAACATTTACTTACTTACGTCGTTTACCATGACCGCGTCATGGCGCTGGCCCCTCGAATAACCGGTGACACGTGTGAATTCGGTGACCAGATGCGAGAAGACCACCAATAAAACAAACCAAACAAACCGATCCATGGCTGTGATAATTATCTGCAAAGAAAACGAGAAGAAGAAGAGGAGATAAGGCAAAAGAAGATATATGTGTACAGGGGAAATGTAGTGTCATGCAACAGGGTCGGTAATGGGGAATAGTAGACAAAATATGCGAACATACAAACGAACATATGTAGGTGAGATTTTCTATGATATAAAAACAAGTAAAAAAGTATGTATACTCTAAGCCAATGTTCGATTATTTAAAAATATTTTGGCTTCTGTTATGAATTTTTAAACTCTTGACAATCTATGTAGTGGGTTTTGAAAGAATGGATCAATATTGTCCATTTCATATCGGACCTAAATAAATATGATATAAGTATTATTATAAATGTATAAGAAAATCGAACAAATCTTAGATTCTATGCTCATCTCAGGATTCTGGTTGAGAGACATATATTGAGATATAGCAAGTTGTAAAGAATTGCTGAGTTGTTTCGCAATTTATGACAGGCAAAAGTATTGGAAATTGTGTCCCTTTGTGGGTCAGGTACCAGAAGGGGTTGGCATTTGTGAAATATTCTTTAAGCGTTTTATTTTTCAAAATCTTGAACCCTATGTGGAGCAGGTGCAAGAGCAATGGTCCGATCTTTACCATCTTTAAAACAGATCTTGTGTTGATGGAAATATTGAGATGTACCATATCTGGAATGCAATCGGATGTTAATTTAGCGTTTTATGAACTTCATGGATATTCAGCATTTTGAGCGTTTGGGAGGTACCAGAACGAGTTGACCGATATTGACATAGCACTGACGCAAATATTAGGATTTGCAAAATTGGAGCAAAATCGGATTATAGATTCTCTTTCTGTGCAAAAAATTTAATTTTTTGAAAATTTCGACCATTTGTGGTGGAGGTACCAGAAGGAGTGGATCGATATTTTCCAGTATAACACCAGAACTTGGGTTAACATAAAAATTGGGATATGTGAAATTTGAAGACAATCGGACTTTTACATCACATTTTATGAGAGTTGTAATTATTCAAAATTTTGACCATTTGTGGGGGAGGTACTTGATGGGATGGATCGATATAGTCCATTTTCACACATGACCTAGCACTGACGCAAATATTAGGATTTGCAAAGTTGAAGCAAAATTGGATTATCCTTTCTCTTTCTGTGAAAAAAAATATACTTTTTTGAAAATTTCAACCTTTTGTGTGGGAGGTACCAGAAGGAGTGGTCCGATATTGCCCATCTCCGAACTCGATCTAAGTTTGACAAAAATATTAGGATGTACCAAGTTTGGACCAAATCGGATACTCCCTTCGAGAGTTATCCTGCGCACCAGCCAGACAGACGAACGGACGGACGTCGCAAGATCGACTCCAAATGTTCTGAAACGGATTTGGTCCAAAGAGATCTAGGGTCTAAAACCGTTATTCGATAAGGCGCATTTTTGTCCTGTAAAAATTGCTCTGTATATAGAAGTGTTGTTGAGTGTCTACCTCAATAAACGATCTTTTCAATGTCTTTGATCTACATTCTATGGGAAGTTGTTTATACATCAAAAATCTGTTGAAGGTGTTTGCAAAAGAAAATATGTTGCAGGTACCATGGAACACCTGTTAAAGGTCTTCTGTCTATAGACGACCCATAGAGACGCTTCAGACTATAGACAACTTGTAGAAGGTCTAATGTTGAGTTTGTCCTGTCTCTGGGAAGAAGACCTGTTTTCTTTCTATATAATTTATGTGAAAGAATACAGTCTTCAATGTATTACTGCCATAGAATACCTCAGGCTTACTGTGGATAGAAGACCTCTTTAGGGTGTTCTCTTTATAGAAGTCATTTTGAATGTCTGCACTCTATAGAATACCTGTCAAATGTTCTTTTTCTACAGAAGTCTTTTAAAAAGAAAACTGTCTGTTAATATTCTGCTAAAGATCTTGTATCGATAGAAGATTTACAGGTCTATCGTCGTTAGAAGGCCAGCTGAAATAATCTCTCCTTGGAACATCTTATGAATGTTTCGGGTCTATTAACAACATGGTGTCTTCTCATTTCAAAAACCGCGTGGAATGTGCCTCTCTCCAGAGAATTCATACAGAAGGTTTACTGCCAAAAACAACTGATGAAGTCTTTAGTCTGCAGAAGGCCTGTTAAGTTCCTCTTTTTATATAAACCTGCAGAAAGTCTTCTTTCAATAGAAGGGTTTGTAATGTTCTCCTGCGTCTTAAGATGTTTGTTATCTTTTCTCTTTACATGAACAGTTAACTCTTGGCGACCTTTCAAACTTATTTTTTCTATAGAAGACCTGTTGCAGTCTTTCCACGGTGACAAAACGTGTCACAAGATTGTTGTTTTTTAGAAACTGTTGGAGGTATTTTGTCTTTGGAAGATCTGCAGGTCGATTTACCAAAATAGACTTTTTTCCTTCCATTTTGGGTGCCAAAATGTTTCTCTAGATGAATTATGCATTTAAAATCTTCCAGTAATCACCTATGGTGACCTCCTGTCCTTACTATGCCAAATGAAAGATTTTTATGTAGACAATCTGTAATAGGAATTTGGTCCATAGGAGTCTCGTAAAAAGTTTGAGGTATGTGGAGGATTAGTTGAAAATCATTGGCCTGTAGAAGATCCAATGGACGGTTTCTGTTAACGAAAAACTCTTGAAGGTATTGAATTTGAAATATTCCTTAAGGAACCCGTCTTACCGTTAAATAATTTGACTTTGGGATGTGCCCGGGCCCTCCTCGAAATTGTAAATTTTTAAATATTTTTAAGAAAATTTTGCTTAAAAATCTCACTTTTTGTCTATGTACCGATGCAGTAGGAGGTCGGGTACTTTCAATATGATAATATTCTGACATATTTCTAGATGTCTACGATACATAAAGAATAGCCGACTTTCTTAAGGGCCTCTCAGGCTTCTTATGCCCCATAGACCAAATTCGTTACTCTAGCTTGTAGAGGGAAGAAAATCTGTAAATCTTCTATGAAGTGAAAATTTTTTTTTGGAAAAAAAAATAATAATAATTTGGCTGGGAGAATTATGAATGTTTTGCATCCATCAAAGACCTTTATATATCGTAGACATTTAGAAAATTGTCTCTTTTTTTTTTTTTGAAGATTTGTAGAATCTTTTCTTTTAATAGAAGAAATAAGCATTTCAAAATACTTTATGTTTAGCAAACCTATTTAGCTTATTATTTGTAGACAGATAGATTATCGTTTTCTCGGGGGGACTAAGGGATAGACACGGAAAAATGCTATTTAAAATACACCAAAGATCATATAAATACCGAATATCGCGGAGTACTGTTATACACGGTATATATGAAAATTTGGATCTGGATAGGCAAGTACATGCCAATTTCAAATGTTAACTTTGGAAAATTCCGTTAAAAAAATGTGTCTTAACTCATGTAAATACCGAATATCGAGAGATTTCGTTATATGCGATCTGTAATAAAATTTGGTTCTTTGCAAGAATGTTTTCTGTTTTCTGTTCCAAATTTTCAATTCCAAAAATTCTACGGATCTAAAATTCATTTGAGTGAAATTTTATTCCCAATACTTCATTCCGTTCGGAAGTTCAAGTGATTTCCACAGACGGACGTACATGGCTAAATTGACATAGGATCTTATGCCGATCAAGAATATATATACCTTGTGGGGCTTATATATATATTCTTGATTGGCATAAGATTCTATGTCATGTCGGCATAAGAATATGTCAATAAAAATTCATTTTTACCCGTTGGGTTCTCCGAAATTATATTTTTCCAATAAGTCATTATCTTACATTTTTCTTCGAGTGTATACCATATTAAGTTAAAAAAAAATCTACAAATCTTTGAGAACATACCACAAGCGAATTAAAAACATAAATACATACGTCATTACTGATACTCATGTTGATGTAAAAAAAGAAGCAGGTACACAGGCTGGCTACAATCTACAGATGGCCTATGTGGTTAATGGGCCAAAGGGGAATGTTACAATGCCACAGAGGTGAAACAGCAACAAACGTTTATAATTGACCGCAATCCATTAAAACAAAACAAAACACAACACAACACATAAGAGAGACCGATGACGACGAAGACGACAGCGACAACGATGAGAACACTGAAGACCCGGGTTCACTTAAGTTAAATGCCACATTGATCTTGGCCAAATGCGGGTTCGTGGCAGCAAAAAGAAGTTAGAAGCTTACAAGCGTTTGGTGCTGGCTTCAAGAAAGAAACATTAATTTTTGTTTTTGTTGTTTTTCCTTTTTATTTTTTGATGATTTGTAAGTTTATTGTTTTCATTGTTCGTTTGTAACACAAGACTCCAGCGAGCATCAAGCGATCACAAAGTCAAGCTCATTATTTGTTGTTTTTGTAAGCGTTTCCCGTCACTGTATTTTGGCTTGGGGCTTGGTATTATAGCCCAGCTGAAACTGATTCGGTAGCAAATTTTAATGGATTTCTTTGTCTATCTTTTTTTTGGATATCGAAAGTGTTTTATTTTTTTGTTTGGGGGGGAGGGGGTGGTGGCTGGAGAAATTCGAAAGGTGTTAGATTGGTTCGTTGATTGCTCGTGTGCCCATTCTAGTTACAGAATTAAGTGTCTCTCTTTTGTGTGTGGACCACTTGAAATTGAAGTGGGTTGAGCGGTGTGAGCAAGTGTGAGTTGTGAGGGAGGCTAATGACGATGATGCTGCAAGTTTGAAGTACGTTCACGTTGAGCTGAGGTGAGTGTGCGCAGCTTTAGAACTTAAGGAGTTCCCTTTTTATTCTTTGTTTGGTTTAGCTTTTACTATTGTTTTAAGCAAAATTATCTTTACACTCCACTTTACGTGATCACAGAATATACCGGCGCGTCTTGATCTTCAACTTAAGACTTTGCGAACTTTACCGATTGATGGCCGAAAACATTCTGACTTCGAAAAGAAGCACTGCAAAATAATCGCCCGTAGAAATAGAAAACATAAGAAGCAGATAGACAGACTTGACGGCGTACAAACTTGGTTGTACGTAGAAAACAGAAGAAACCT